ATTTAAATTGTGGTTTAACCGACTTAAAGATGTGTAATAAAATTAATTTGATACTCCTGTCATTTCTATCAAATTTGAAATAATTTATTTTCATATTCTTTTCAAGATCTCCCTCCGGCAGGAAAAGAAAAAGGACCAGCAATATAGATCAGAATTCTGCCCCTTCAAAAAAAACCAAGACACAAAATGGGTAAAGTTTTTCATCTAAATAAATTTAAAATGACATTATTTTATGTTTCTTTGGAACCTTGTCTGGCTCAATTTTTTTTTAGACCCCAGTTAAATATAAAAATATACTTATTTAAAATTTTGAAATGGATTTCAATTTTGAATTTCTGAAATGCTTGTGATGCAATTTTATGTCATATGTAAACATAAATTTAATTACATTTGAGAAGTAAGTTTAAAATACAGAAGATTGAAGGAAAAAATAAAAAAATGCAATGTTAACATTAAATGATTGACATTTTAAAAATGTATAACTAAAACTGCTTTCAATTTAATTAGCTGAATTCTAATTAAAGAAACTAATTATTAACTATTTTAAAATTTATACAGAAGTTAGAAATATGTGAAGTTTATCATTTTCGGGAAGTTCTTTAATCCGAAAATTCTTTATGCAATACTGTGGAACAAGATTCAAAACTAATAATTTCATGGGCAGAAACAAATGAAGATGATGAATGGGCAGAAACGAATGAAGATGATGAATTGGATGAATTTGAAAGTAATCCCCATAGTTCAAGATTCTGAATGTTCATTTAGCAAAGATCAATCTTCTAATAAAACTGACTGTTGAAAAGGGGGATGTTTCCTCGATCGGGACAATAAAGGAAAGGGTAAAACCTTGTTAAAAAAGGACCAAAATGATCCGATTAGGTCTAGATACCCCTATCTAGATATAGACATGTGGATTCTAACGAAATAGGTGAAGTAAAGTGGAAATGAAGTAGAAGCTAGCACTACTATCGATTCTTTCTGTTTTGTACCACCTCCATATTGAATTCCTGGAGTAAACCCAGAAGGTTCATCACCACTTTTTGTTTCAAGGCCCTGTTCGCTGATGACATTATAGGATTTCTGGATTCAATCAATGAATATGCAGAAAGACTTGGAATCAAAATTGAACACAACATCTATGAGATCTGTGAAAAAAAACTAGTACCTAGTGACACTACCAGAAGTATATATTTTTTGTGTGTTGTCACTGTTATAAATAATACTTGAGTCCTTCCGGGTTCATTCGGTAAATATTTTAATTTAAACTTTCACAACACCCTAAAGAAGAATAAATATTTTTTATATGCCTACTAGACAATGTATCCGATATTTAGTTATGCAATGAAATTCCCAGTGAGATCCCTAGTGGGATCTTGTTGTTGCTCTCTCTTGAGCGTCAGCAATGACCTCTTGCTCGCAATGGACAGCAGAAATGTCTCTATTCTGATCCTCTTAGATCTCAGTGCGGCCTTTGATCCTGTTGACCATCAAAACCCTTAAAAATTGTTTTGGAAATTCTGGTTCAGTTTTGGCTTAGGTCCTACCTTTCCAATAGAATGCAGACGGTCGCTGTTGATGGCTGTCTTTCCAGCACTGCTGACTTGGTGTATGTGGTCCATTTTGGGCCCGGTTCTATTCACAATGTATACCAGGCCACTGCACCTTTTGCTTCTGGAGGCATGCTGTTGAGAGCCAGTCATTCGCAGATGACATCTAGCAATACAAGCACACCCATCACTCTCTTGTTTTCTCTGCTGTCCAGACCTTGCGGGAGTGAATTGGTGATGTCAAGTCATGGATGAAACTCAGCAAGTTGAAGCTTAACAATGACAAAATGGAAGCACTCCTCATTCACAATCACAAATCATTCAATACCTGAGCTCTCCCCACCTCTTTTCAAGTAGGTAGCTCCGACATATGGTTCATATCCTCTGATAGGAATCTTGGTTACATTCTTTCTGACATGTCTCACCAAAACACTTCATAGAAAAACTGCAAAAGGTTCATAACTCAGCTGCTAGGCTAGTTCTAGAATTCCTTGCAAAGCAATGATATCTGATGGAGAATTAAACAAAGTTTTGATTTATTCAAATATTATATATTTTCAGATTGAAACGGGCAAAAAATGACAGTTCTGACGATGAAAGTCCAAAAAAAATATCTCCATCTCCGAAAAAAATTGCTAAGGCTGAATCCAGTAGTGATTCTGATAGCTCAGAAGAGGATGCAACATCCAAAACAACAACAGGAACACCAGCTGCAGTTTCACACTTGACAAAAGTGAAGGTTAAAAATAAGTCTGACAGCTCAGGTAGTGATTCTGACTCTGAAGATGAGGTTAAGAAAAATGTGAAGAATGGTGTGTTAACAACAGGAAAAACAGCAGCTGGAGGTATAAAAAAATCTAATTCATCAGATAGTGATTCAGAATCTTCAAGTTCAGAAGATCAGAAGAAAAAGTTGTCACCAAAACCAAAAACTGCTATTGTAAAGCAGCTTTTAACAAAAGCTACCAATAAGCAATCCTCATCAGATAGTGATTCATCAAGTTCAGAGGATGAAAAGAAACCTACTGTTAATAAACCAGTAGCTGCTACTAGTAAGCCAACAGTACCTGCAGCAAAAGTTGCCAAAAAGCCAGAATCATCAGATAGTGATTCATCAAGTTCAGAAGATGAAAAGAAACCTACAGTTAAAAAACCAGTAGCTGCTACTAGTAAGCCAACAGTACCTGCAGCAAAAGTTGCCAAAAAGCCAGAATCATCAGATAGTGATTCATCAAGTTCAGAGGATGAAAAGAAACCTGCTGCTAAACTACCAGTAGCTTCTGCTAGTAAGCCAACAGTTCCTGCAACAAAAGTTGCCAAAAAGCCAGAATCATCAGATAGTGATTCATCAAGTTCAGAGGATGAAAAGAAACCTGCTGCTAAACTACCAGTAGCTGCTGCTAGTAAGCCAACAGTTCCTGCAACAAAAGTTGCCAAAAAGCCAGAATCATCAGATAGTGATTCATCAAGTTCAGAGGATGAAAAGAAACCTGCTGCTAAACTACCAGTAGCTGCTGCTAGTAAGCCAACAGTTCCTGCAACAAAAGTTGCCAAAAAGCCAGAATCATCAGATAGTGATTCATCAAGTTCAGAAGATGAAAAGAAACCTACAGTTAAAAAACCAGTAGCTGCTACTAGTAAGCCAACAGTACCTGCAGCAAAAGTTGCCAAAAAGCCAGAATCATCAGATAGTGATTCATCAAGTTCAGAAGATGAAAAGAAACCTACAGTTAAAAAACCAGTAGCTGCTACTAGTAAGCCAACAGTACCTGCAGCAAAAGTTGCCAAAAAGCAAGAATCATCAGATAGTGATTCATCAAGTTCAGAAGATGAAAAGAAACCTGCTGCTAAACTACCAGTAGCTGCTGCTAGTAAGCCAACAGTTCCTGCAACAAAAGTTGCCAAAAAGCCAGAATCATCAGATAGTGATTCATCAAGTTCAGAAGATGAAAAGAAACCTGCTGCTAAACTACCAGTAGCTGCTACTAGTAAGCCAACAGTTCCTGCAACAAAAGTTGCCAAAAAGCCAGAATCATCAGATAGTGATTCATCAAGTTCAGAAGATGAAAAGAAACCTACAGTTAAAAAACCAGTAGCTGCTACTAGTAAGCCAACAGTACCTGCAGCAAAAGTGGCCAAAAAGCCAGAATCATCAGATAGTGATTCATCAAGTTCAGAAGATGAAAAGAAACCTACAGTTAAAAAACCAGTAGCTGCTGCTAGTAAGCCAACAGTACCTGCAGAAAAAGTTGCCAAAAAGCAAGATTCATCAGATAGTGATTCATCAAGTTCAGAGGATGAAAAGAATCCTGCAGTTAAAAAACCAGTAGCTGCTACTAGTAAGCCAACAGTACCTGCAGGGAAAGTTGCCAAAAAGCCAGAATCATCAGATAGTGATTCATCAAGTTCAGAGGATGAAAAGAATCCTGCAGTTAAAAAACCAGTAGCTGCTACTAGTAAGCCAACAGTTCCTGCAACAAAAGTTGCCAAAAAGCCAGAATCATCAGATAGTGATTCATCAAGTTCAGAAGATGAAAAGAAACCTGCTGCTAAACCACCAGTAGCTGCTACTAGTAAGCCAACAGTACCTGCAGCAAAAGTTGCCAAAAAGCCAGAATCATCAGATAGTGATTCATCAAGTTCAGAGGATGAAAAGAAATCTGCAGTTAAAAAACAAGCAGCTGCTACTAGTAAGCCAACAGCACCTGCAGCAAAAGTTGCCAAAAAGCAAGAATCATCAGCTAGTGATTCATCAAGTTCAGAGGATGAAAAGAATCCTGCAGTTAAAAAACCAGTAGCTGCTACTAGTAAGCTAACAGTTTCTGCAACAAAAGTTGCCAAAAAGCCAGAATCATCAGATAGTGATTCATCAAGTTCAGAGGATGAAAAGAAACCTACTGTTAATAAACAAGTAGCTGCTACTAGTAAGCCCACAGTACCTGCAGTAAAAGTTGCCAAAAAGCCAGAATCATCAGATAGTGATTCATCAAGTTCAGAGGATGAAAAGAATCCTGCAGTTAAAAAACCAGTAGCTGCTACTAGTAAGCCAACAGTTCCTGCAACAAAAGTTGCCAAAAAGCCAGAATCATCAGATAGTGATTCATCAAGTTCAGAAGATGAAAAGAAACCTGCTGCTAAACCACCAGTAGCTGCTACTAGTAAGCCAACAGTACCTGCAGCAAAAGTTGCCAAAAAGCCAGAATCATCAGATAGTGATTCATCAAGTTCAGAGGATGAAAAGAAATCTGCAGTTAAAAAACAAGTAGCTGCTACTAGTAAGCCAACAGCACCTGCAGCAAAAGTTGCCAAAAAGCAAGAATCATCAGCTAGTGATTCATCAAGTTCAGAAGATGAAAAGAAACCTGCAGTTAAAAAACCAGTAGCTGCTACTAGTAAGCTAACAGTTTCTGCAACAAAAGTTGCCAAAAAGCCAGAATCATCAGATAGTGATTCATCAAGTTCAGAAGATGAAAAGAAACCTACAGTTAAAAAACCAGTAGCTGCTACTAGTAAGCCAACAGTACCTGCAGCAAAAGTTGCCAAAAAGCCAGAATCATCAGATAGTGATTCATCAAGTTCAGAGGATGAAAAGAAATCTGCAGTTAAAAAACAAGTAGCTGCTACTAGTAAGCCAACAGCACCTGCAGCAAAAGTTGCCAAAAAGCAAGAATCATCAGATAGTGATTCATCAAGTTCAGAAGATGAAAAGAAACCTGCAGCTGCTAAACCATTGGTTGGTGCAGCTAATGCTGTTAAAAAGCAGTCATCAGATAGTGATTCTGACTCAACTTCAGATGATTCAAAAAAAGTTATTAAATCTGTTAATACCAGTAATAAGAATTCTACGCGTTTATCTAAAGACACATCAGACAGTGATTCTGATTCTTCATCAAGTAATGACGGTAATTCTAATTTCTCAGTTGCAACCCCCAGTCTACTTTCAAAGTCATCTAAACCTGTTGAGTCATCAACACCAAGTGAGAATTCAATAAAATCTAAGCAAAAAGTTAGTTCAGAAACTTCGGAATCATCTAACGATGATGTACTACAAAATTCAGTTAATAAAACACCTTCATCAAAACTTAATCTTTCTCAGAAACAAAATATAAATTATTCAGATTCCTCCTTTTCCACAAATGGTACTCCAAAATCAAATGGATTTCTAACACCAGGCGGTGATGCTTCTCAGTCACAAGGAAAGGTATATTGAAGTTATTTATTTTCATTAAAAATACGTCACCTGTACCTCACCTCACTTAGCATGTGTGATTGTATATTTTTTTCATGTTTTAAAATTTGTGTGTGTGTGTTGATAATGGTACTGACCATCTAAGTCATTTTTAATAGTAAAATCATTGCTAAAATCATTGCTTGAAAAAGACATTATTTCTTAATTAATTTTCTGTTACGATATTTTAGAAAATATCTATTTTGCTTAGCTTTATCATTTTTTAAGAATTTTAAAATTATAAATAATTTCAGCGAACACCTAATGAGCCATTCAGGCGTGTGAAATCTGAACAGATCTATGTTGATCCAAAATTTAGAGACAATTCTTTTGAGGCCAAGGTAAATCTATATTTAAATACTCCTAAAATTGTTTATATAATTTAATTTTGGAGGATACACTTTTATTTGTTAACTGTTTGATAGCATTTATTTTAAAGCTGCAGATTCCATTATATTTTCTTTATTTGGGTGGAGAATGAATTACTACCGGGTATTTCCACAAACCTTAAAAATTAGGTTGCCCATTGCTAGTTTATAAACACTTTAAAGGTACTATGTAACCTTTCTTCAGCAAAGGACTGCAAAATAAAAGCAATAATAATCAGCCATCATATTCAATACAACTTCACTCCCTTAGTGACAATAATTAATCTTGTATTTATTTTCAATATGATTATTGCTTCTAGAGGTTTCTGCCTGAGTTGTTTTATTTACAAATTGGTATATCCTCTTCTATTAAGTTACTGGTACTTACATTGAATGATTTATACAACCTTTCATTGTTAAAAACTAGCAGGAATGTACCCACATAGTGGCAGGGCCAATGACCCAAATTATTGATAATTGCTCTTAATCAATTTTTATAAAATGTTAACCAATGACTGAGCGCTTTTAGGCCGCTGTCATTGGTCTTCAGACATACACTTTTGAAGTACCAACCTACGACTTATTGTTTGAATACTATTTTTTTCTTTTCTTTTTAGAGTGGTGCTAGAGGTTCCTGGGGAGAAAAGGCTAACAAAGATCTTATTGTGACTCGTGGCAAAGGTTTTAAACATGAAAAGACCAAAAAGAAAAGAGGCAGTTATAGAGGAGGACCTATTGACACTGCTGTGCACTCCATCAAATTTGATGATAGTGAATGAGCAATTATTTTCTTATTTACATGTCATTAAGTTTAATAATTCTTTGAAAAAATCTGTTTGATAGTTGCCTGGTTGTATTGCAATGAGCCATCCACATATTATGGATGTACTGAGGGGTTATGACTCTGGAAATTCCGGTACTGGTACTTTTGTTTGGGGGGGGGGTTTTTTTTTTGGGGGGGGGGGGGGGGGCGTCCTTGGTTAAATGTATTATAGTAAATTTATGCACAATTCTGTAATCATCCTGAAAGTCTGACATTCATAGATGTCCTAGTTTTTCTTTTTAAAAGTCAACTGTCTTCTAAAATTTCTAATTATTTTAAAAGGCTATTAAAATAAAAGGGCAAAGTTTTTAAAATCATCATAGTGTTTTGATTTTTCACAAGTGAACTCACTACATATCAGAACATTAATATTTCGCTTAATAAAAACTTTAGTCAACCATATCTGTCCATGTGATGTAATTTGTTTACTGTTTCCATGGTGTAATTATTTTGTTGGGCTACATCTGGAGCATACAGTGGAGAAATCATGACATATTTTTTAGTACAATTTACAGTGACTTAAGACAATTATAACATCATACACTGCAATTAAACTAAGTTTATATACCGGCACTCATGTAGTAGTGGGTTTGTCCAAAAATGAATGGGTGCCTTTGATTTCTTGTTTTCATACTTGTACCAGTATGTAATATATGGATGGCTCCTTATAAGAAACTGAAAAGATCATATGTGAACTTACAAGGCATGCTCACATTTGTGTAGAATGAAACAACCTGTCTTTATAAAATTAATTTTTAAGGCAATTTAAAAACTATGAGTTGCTATTTATGTGAATGGAAACTAATTTTATGTATCATTTTCTGGACTGGTTTTTCTGAACTTTGTGAATGTGACTTAAATTGCAACCTGATGCAAACAGTTGAAATGTTTTGAACCATGCAAATTCATTTGGTGGCAATCTAAAAATAGAACTATAGTGGGAAATATCAAAATCATTGACAAAACAAAGTTCAAACTTCTCTTGTATGCTGGTTATTTTATTTTCAGCAAAAACAATTCTTTATTTTGCTTAATTATTTGCTCAAGCCAATTTTAATTTAGATTGGATGACCAAGAAAAAAACATGCAAACTGCAATGGAAAAAGTAATTGTCTTTTATTAAGCTTTTTTATACACCATTGCATTCAATGAATAAATTACAAAAATTGAACTGGAAAAGACTATCCTTTCATTTTGGACAGGCAGTTAAAATAATATTACTAATACCCATCACATCTGTTTTCGTACAGGTAGTAATTAGTTATGATTAACTTCATTGCTTTCTGAAGAATAAAATGACTTGTTATCTAGAGCTGGGTTTCCCAACCTTTACTGAACCCCCAATAATGTGTTTGACCAAGTCTCAAACTCCCTATAAAAGTAACATGGCTTTTAAAATAAATATATTTATAATAACAAAGTGAACTAGAAATTTGTGGTCTGTCACATATATTAAAACGGTAATACAGAAAAGTTTTAGTGACATTTATAAATATCTGTACACCAGTTTGAGAAACCCTGATCTCGGGGGGGGGGGGTCTCTGAATTTTAAAATAATATAATCATTAAAAACTATTAATTAAAATAAAGGTTAGATTATTTCTTTTGTTACTACTATTATTAGTTTGATTTATATGACTAATGCAATTGAATCTTAATTTTATAGGTATGTAATTGCAACAGCTGTCATAAAGCCTATGGTTCAAAGTTTAGAAACATTTGTTTGCAAGATGTCTTAAAGTCTAACTAACTTAAACCATTTTAAGGTTACTGGTAACAATATTATTTTAAATTTGTTTACTTATAAAAATAAATACCCAATGCAAGTTCTTGGATATATTATATTATCTCTTGATATTTTTTGAGTGCGTTTAAAAGTTAGGTAAATAAATTCTTATGTGTAACGGTAACAAAAAATTTTTTAAAATAAAAATAAAAAAGGTAGTTGAAGTTGGAACTACTTTTTAGTTCTTTTTCTACACCAAAACATTTAATTGAATCAACAAAATTTTTTTTTCTAGAGTTGGCTTTCATGTTATTTTTAGAACATTGTTTTTAAATAAATGCATAAAGAATCTGTTATAAAAAGGATTTCAGTTATTTCATTATATTTTGTTCTAATTAATTACTGAAAACAAACACTTGAAATTGAAAGTGAATTAATGAATAATTGATACAATTAGCACTATAGGCATAATCTGTCACTTTCCTTAATTAAGATTATTAAGAAGAATGCCGGAGTCCTTTTGTTTATTGACATTAATTCGAAGTCAAAGGCCATTTAATTTAACTAAAACTAGTAAAACATAGAATTCATTTTAGGCAGGCAACATGCGGGGCCAACAAAGCAGGATCAATAAGTGACTCTGCTACAAGTATTTCAAGGCTATATTCATGAGTTTGATGTTTAAGTTGTAAACCACTTTTACGACTTGTTCTCTGTGGTATGGGCAATTCAGAATGGTGGGCTGGCAAAGGTTCAGTGAAAAAATATGGATGTAGCAATGCCTGTGAATGGAAATGCTGCATCAAAGAATGATAACTTTTCAGAATGTAAAAAGATGTCGGTTGTTTCTACTCTACGTAATAAAACAATGCATGATAAATTGTAACTTCAAATATATTTCATTAAACAAAGCTTCTGATAAATTATTAAATATTCTCTAATAGATGCTCTTTACTCAAAAGACTAGTAGCCTTTGAAAATAAAAAAGTATCAGATGTGTTAAACTGCACTATCAGTATTTAAATGTATAAATAAGGGAGTACATATATTTTTAAAAAAGGATATACCTTCTTTGCAGATATTCTCTGTTTACTAGGATATACAAGAAATTGTTTGAGAAGATCTAGGGCTTCCTTTGAAGCATCAGGAACAATCTCCTCTAATGGTATGGGGGCATTATCAGGAAAAGAGATTTTATGGAAGTCTGGAAGATCTAATTTTGACATGCCCTAAATGCAAATAGTACATGTTAGTTATATTTACCGGTACAGTTACCCTGACGTTAATTTTTTTTAAAACTTTTATATTTTAAGAAATTTAAATTAATGAAATAATTAAACATAATTTAATTTATGCAATAAGAGAAAAATTTGGTTTATTTTCATTTTTAAAAAAACAGCATAAAGGGAAAGTACTCTTAGTTGTCTTATTCATTGTAACACAATCAATACATACTGGCCATGTCTTTTCATTTGGTGTTCCTAAAACCCTGATGACCAAACATAACTGTTCAATGTCTGTTTCACCCTGCAAAAAATAGAGCATTTAAAAATCCTAATAGCATTTTATAGTGCCGGTAATTAAATTGTAATTAAATTAATTACATTTTTTGCTAAATATAATTGCTAAGCAGATTTTGTTATGAACATTTACTATCATTATCATGCTGTGAATTATAATGAATGAAATAGAAAAACGAGGTATGTGAATTATAACATTTTAAAAGATTTGGATTACCATACCATAATGTTCATAATAAACAAATTTTATGCACAATTTGAATAATGTACACTAATTTATCAAATGACGGTATCCCTGACACTACGGACAGTCACAAATGTTTTGTATCCGAAACAAAGACAGAAATGCATTCAAGTACCGGTAAGTGTAAGTATTTGGAATTGACATTATAAAATGTATAGAAACAATTTCTATGAAACCTTGTTAAAGTTAAAATCAGTTTTTTTACTCACTGGAAATATGGGAGTATTGTTTAGCAGTTCACCAAATATACAGCCCACAGCCCTAAAAGCGAAGTACATTACCCCATAAATTGAATGTTCAGTTTATAATTATATCAATGCAATATATAATAGTTACTTAATTACATGGTGGAGAATAATATAAATAATATGTTAGCTGTCTGATTAAGAAAAGTATTTTTTGTAAAATTATTTTTGTGCTTTTCATTTTCAGAAAGATAAACAAATTTTACATTTAAAAAAAGAATTATTGTTGAAATCAATGTTGCTTCACATATATGAAATATTTTTGTATTCAGGCAATGTAAAGATGTCATATTTTCATTAATAGGAGGAAAATAGTAAATATGAAATTTAAATACTTTTAAATTTAACTTTCTTTAACCAAAAAATTATAAACACAAGAAATTATTCTGACTAGCAACCTTATAATCATGGCCATGTCCTTAGATTTATTGTTATAAATTATTCTCTATTGAATTTTAACAAATTGGGATACAGTGAATTTTGAATACTGAATAATCCTTAAAATACATAAATTATATTCTAATTAAATGAAAAGAAGACATTGAAGACCTTTTCTTCTTACCACAAATCAACCCCTTCATCATATTTCCTAGCTCCATATAGTAACTCTGGGGCTCTGTACCACCTAAAAATTGTATAATACATATTTTTATAAGTTAAGGGCTACAAAAATTTAAGAAATCTCAATTTACAGTATAATTTTCTTTTAACAGTTCAGTAGTACTGGCAGTAAAACAAATACATTGAAAAAATAAAAAAAAAATTTTTAGCCATATTACCTTGTAGCAACCTGATGACTATATTGGCGATCACCTTTATTTTGAAATACACGAGCTAATCCAAAGTCTGCAATTTTCAAATGACCGGTAGAACTTATCAATAAGTTTGCTGGCTTTAAATCCTGAGAAAAAAAATCATCACACAAAGATAGAGAAAACTTAGAAAACCAACAAATGTTTGAATCAAAATGTTTAGCTCCAAAAAGTTTTTTTCTTTTAAAATAAACTTCATGTTAAACACTTTTCAGTTGTTTTAAAAAAACAAACAAATTATGGTCATTTCAACAGAGAAGCATAAATTTAATATATTTACTCTGTGCATAATATTGTTTTCATGGCAGAAGGCAATGCCCTTCAACAGCATTAACATGTAAGATTTGACTTGTGCTTCTGTAAGAGGTTTCTCAACTTTTCTAATAACTTCAGACAAATCTGATAACATGAACTCAAACACAAATACAATCACAGAGCCATGAGGGAAAACTTCTCGAAGTCTGACAACCTGTAAAAATAAATTGGTTAATTATATAATTTCAGTGACTCACAAAATATAATATCGGATAAAACTTTGTTATCATATATCATATATATATAAAAAAGTGAAAGTTCGTTTGTTCCACAAAGGCTTTTACATGGATTGATGGATCTTGACCAAACTTGGCACATATATCCATCATTATCGAGAAGGAACTCTTAAGGGGTTATGAACTTAGCAAATAATTATTACTGGCTAATGAACCCAGCGTTTCCCGGGTTTGCATTTGGAAAAAAAAAAACTTCTACCACAGCCTTTTAATTAACATTGAAATTAAGCGCCATGTGAAAAAAAAAACCCTATAGTAAAAAAAATTTAATAATTTTAATTTGTCTCCTATAAAAACACTTGTATAATAACTTTAGTAAACCTTTTGGTCCCCGATGTGATCGGATTCCCTATCTCAGAGGGATCACATTAGAGGCCGACCGAATTTCGGCTTCGGTTTCGGTGCCGAAAGTGGCCATTTTATCACTTTCGGCCAAGTTTCGGTTTCGGCTGAAACTGAAAAGTTAACTTTCGGCTTAATTTCGGTTTCGGCCGAAATAGAAAAGTTAACTTTCGGTTTTTCTTCGGTTTCGGCCGAAATTGACATAGACTTTCGGCCATCCGGCCCAAATTGACTCAGGTTTTCGGTCATTTAATACTCAGCGAAAGCGATATTTAACAAGAAACTAAGTGACATTTAAGAACAAATTAAGCGATCTTTGAGAACAAACTAAACGATATTTAACAACAATCTAAGGGACATTTAAGAACAAACTAAACGATCTTTAAAACAAAATAAGCGATCTTTAATAACAAACTGAACGATCTTAAAGAACAAAATAAACGATTTTTAAGACCGAACTAAATGATCTTTAAGAACAAAACAAATGATCTTTAATAGTAAACTAAATGATTTATAAGAATAAACTAAGCTATCTTTAACAGAAAAATAAATGTTTTTTAGGAACAAACTAAAAGATCTTTAAGAACAAACTAATCAATCTTAAGGAACACAATCAATTATCTTTAAGAACAAACTAAGCGATCTTTATGAAAAAACAAAGCGATCTTTACAACAAACTAAGCGATCTTTAACAAAAAACTAAGCGATCTTTAACAAAAAACTAAGCGATCTTTATGAACAAACTAACCGATCTTTTAAAAAAAAATAAAGCCATCATTAACAAAAAATGGATGATCTTTAACAACAAACTAAGCGATCTTTAAGAACAAACTAACAGATCTTTAACAACAAACTAAACAATCTTGAACAACAAACTAAACGATCTTTAACAACAAACTGAGCGATCTTTAACAACAAACTAAACGATCTTTAACAACAAACTAAACAACCTTTAACAACAAACTAAACAACCTTTAACAAAAAACTAAGCAATCTTTAAGAACAACTTTAACAACAAACTAAGCGATCTTTAACAACAAACTAAACGATCTTTAACAGCAAACTAAACGATCTTTAACAACAAACTAAACAACCTTTAACAACAAACTAAACTATCTTTAACAGCAAACTAAACGATCTTTAACAACAAACTAAGCGATCTTTATGAACAAACTAACCGATTTTTAAGAACAAACTAACCGATCAATAACAACCAACTAAACGATCTTTAGAAACAAATTAAGCGATCTTTTAGAACCACATTTTTAGAGACCCTGTTTAAAAAAATAATATTTTTCATTAATTTCCCCTCCTCCCTCACTCCCCAATTTTTTGCCAAATTTTCTCCTACCATACTAATTTTTTAAAAATGGTAAAGCAATTTAAATTACTTTTATATTAAAATGGTAAAATCCAAAGTATTCATTAGATCAAGGGTCTCAAACTCAAATCATGTTTAGGGGGGGGGGGTGGGCGCAGGAGGTAGTGTCTGAATGAGAGTGGGCCGCATCAAGTAATCCACAAAAAAGCGATTACAACTGTTACAATCTGCTCAACCTTTATAAATAACAATAAAGTCATTAAGGGTTCTTAAGAACTACTCACTGTTGCCAGAGACCTGGCATACAAAAATAGTTAGAAACATAAAAAAAAAAATAATCAGAATTAGACTAGTCGGTGAGATTCGACTGAAACCGTCGCGGAGAGTCACGTTATAGATATGAGAATGGGGGAAACGGGCCGACGCATTTACACTAAACTTTTCTGTCATGTAGCGGGCCGCAAAATATCGTCATGCGGGTCACAAGTGGCTCGTGGGCCGCGAGTTTGTGACCCCTATATTAGATGTTTATTTACGATTATCTTATTTTTTATAAAAAGAATGTAAACATTTATACTTTTCCACATCATTTTCGATGTATGCGGAATGTATGTGGGAACGAATTTCAAAATATCTTAATATTTCATTTTCGGTTTCGGCCGAAATTCATTTATAACTTTTCGGCCTTTTTTCGGTTTCGGCCGAAAGTCATTTTTAAACTTTCGGCCTTTTTTCGGTTTCGGCCGAAAGTAATTTTAAACTTTCGGCCTATTTTCGGCTTCGGCCGAAATCGGAAAATCACTTTCGGTCGGTCTCTAGATCACAGTCTCTGTGGGATGCCGATCCTTATCCCTTTGGATCTCGATCCCAATACCGGTGGAATCCTGATGTCCATGGGATCCCGATCCTGGTGTGATCCCATTACCCAATGGAATCGCGTTACCGGTGGATTCCAGTTTACTGTTGGATCCTGTTCTTCGGTGGGATCATGTTCCCAGTGGGATTTTGTCCCCGGGAGGTTAATGAAGGGTATGTTGTTAATGAAGGGTATGTTTAGCAAAAATCCCCAAGATAGAACAGAACTAAACTAAACATATTCTAGATTAAATTGAATATCCTACTCGAAATGAGTAAAAAAACGACTTCTCTGCGTAATTATTTTTTTAATAAAAACTAAATGCACAACTATAAATACAGTATATTTACGTTGAAAGAGGGCCATAAGTGTATCAATTTAGTTCTGCCTGAGATAGGGGGCCCTATAAAAATCAGTCAGAGAAATACTATTAATAGTAAAGTTAAAATTCAAAAGTTGTCCCGATGATCGGTTATAAAATGACATAGATAGCTTTTTTAAATTATCGAACTTTCTGGATAAATCTCACCGGCCTTGAATGGATTGGATATTATTAATTTTAAATCCACCGATATTTCAGTATGGACTATGAGGGCTATTGCTACAAAGCTAGACCAATTCACATAGAACCTATCGTGTTGTCTAAGCCTATTGATGAAAATAACAATCTTTTATAACATATTTTAAAAAGGGTTGCAATAGAGCTAATTAACCAAATTATTTTGTAGAGGAAAATAAAACCAAATTATAAGACAAAATTTAATCTAATTTAATTCAAGCACAGATATTAATGTATTGGTATTCATATAAATGAGGATACTTACATAAGGATTATTCTCTATCTGTTGAAGAGCTTTGATTTCTCTAAAAGGACAGACAAATATACTGTAACTAAAAGGTTTTATAAAAATGTGTTGTTAGTAGTGATGTTATTACAGTGTTTGTTTTTGCAAACTGGTTTTTACAATTAGGGCTCTAGTCCTGCTGGAACACTTGTAAACGGCGTTACTGTACTTGTTTTTTTTTGCTAAGAAATAGATACATATTTATTTTGGGGGATTAATTAAATTCCCACATTTTTCCCCCAAGTACTTGACCCCTATTTGCAATGCATTCCAAACTCTTCCCCACAGCCATGTCAGATCAATATGATATATTATAAAAGAGTACAGGTATCATCCAGGGAGAGTATGTATTCTCAATACATTGTAGTGGTCCTTAATGGGGGGGGGGGGGGGGGGGGGCGCGGCACAAATTATGAGAGAGGGTGACCTGTTAACTTCTTGAAACCTAGCACACAATAAATGCTTGCAATAACAAGACGACCACTTCTCTCCACGAAAACATCCGGTTTTTACACCAGTAAGCTGGTATAAATACAGAGTGCAGTATGGTCAGATACGCGGAGCATTAGTGAGTAGCCTACTAATTTTCATCTTTAGTTATGTTAAAAGTATGTCTTTATTGAATATTTATAAAAATACACTACTTATTGGATTATTATTTTAATAATTTTATTTAAAAATATGTATTTTTTATTATTTTTTCTATTAACCGTATTATGATAAAAATAATTTTTGAAACAGATTTCGAAAATCAATTCTTGTTACCCAAATTTAAATTCTGATTAAAGTTATTAAAGTTTAAAGTTTCACAGATCGTAGCATTGTTTAATATGAGAATGAGAGCCTTATTTTCATCTGTTTTTCGTTATTTTATTGGTTTACAGTATTGTCTTTGAACAGCTGTAGATTAAATTGAAACTGTATTATGAACCATGAAAAGTTATCTTAATTAATCACCTCAAGGCTGTATTAGGAATGCCTTCCTCTGGATTTCGCAGTGGTACTTTTTTCAAAGCTACAACTTCACCACTCTGAAATAAAAGATTCACACATTAAAAATTCCTTCTGCAAAAGACGAAGAACAAATTACTTTTAATTTTAAGTTTTACCTATTTTTGATATACTGGTACTGGTAGCAGTTATAAGTAACATGAAATAGGATTTCCCTTAGTATCAGATATAACACAAAGAGAATCAACCTGTTAAATTAAATGGTTCTTGCAACAATTTAGAGCACACTAATTGTTAGCAAGAGATACAACTTTTAGCACAGCTTTTCATGTTCAGAATAAGCAATTTGTGTTATATTTTTTATTAAAAAAATTCTTACATTATTAACATTAAGGAATTAGTTCATCCAGTTTTGAGTATGGTATCTAAAATATTCAATTTCTGAAAATATCCATCATTTAAGACAGGTAATAGCTATAGTTGCCTCTTAGTAGAGAAATAAGATCTATGATTACTGATATCTAAACCTAAAATGTTCAAATCAGGAATTTGATTTCTCAACATTCACAGAAAAAACACACCATTAGCTCTTTGAAATGGAACAATGAGCATAATAAAAGACATCACATTCATTCATATGCATAAAGTAACAGCTTCAACGCTAATTTCAAAAAATGGATTTAACTTTTTTATTTTTAAAGGCACACACAAATTTCATGCAGTGAAAGTGATGTGAGCATTAAGCTGATGTTTAATAAAGGATAAAGATCTGATTTATTGAAAATGGAGTAATAGGTAATTCCAAATTTTAGCTGTTGAATAAAACAAGCTTTGGTTTGTGAAAATATCAAATTTCCATTATAAGGATCAATAAAAGCACCTATCTTATTTTATACTAGCTAACTAGGACTAATCTGGCTCAGGAAAGTTTATTTGTATATCACAAAGAAAAAAAAAATTAGTTAAGCAAAGGGAGTTTAAATATTTTCATTGCATACACTTTGGAACAGACAGTTTATTTTAGTTCAGCATAAGATGTTACTGTTAGTTACAAATGAATAGGATAAATTTTAGATCCGGACTACTAGTTTCGACAATAAAATTATGCACATTTATTTGCTACTATTTGGAAATTAAATCAAGTTTTAATTCATTCATAACATAGACACTGACCTCAATGTGCTTAGCTTTGAGTACTATTCCATGAGCACCCTCTCCAATCCTTCCAAGAATGTTATACTGCTCCATTTGCAAATTATGGTAGCTTGCTTTCTGATTGCTGTATTTTAACCTTACATAATAAATTGACATTTAAAAGACAAAAACAATACAGAGTAATGTTAGGGAATGCTGAAGAAGCTAGATTTAAAAAAACAACAACAATGAAAACCCAATATTTCTGCCAATATTACACTACTCCCCATGCTTCTCCCACTGTCACAAATTTATTACCCTATACATAATTTAGACACCTTTATGACACATCATCCCAAATTTGTGACACCTCTCTTCAAAAGCATATAGGTCCACTACCATAAATAACTATTTTTAACAAAACAAACATATTCATAAACAAAAGAGAAGACAAAAACTCAAAGTTTACATGGACCACTTACTTTTTAAATGAATCTATTTTTAGTGACATTTTTTAGTTAGTTTGCTAAAGACCTAGAATTGGACCAATAAATAGAACAAAGGTAGGTATACATTTTTAAGAGAAGAGAAATATTTTATATCTGCTAAGAAAATATTTGGGAGCTGCAGCAGGGCCGGATACATAATGAAAATAGCCAACAGCTGTCCAGTGATGTATATAAAAAATATTTTAAAAAAACAATGTTCAATAATGAAAAGAGCAGCAATTGTTCATTTAAAGAATGCAGGTTGCCAACTACAGAAAAAGACAAACTGATAATAGTTGGAGCAAATCCTTTGCATAGTATAAACACTGAAGGCCTTGGGGCCATCCATCAGGATTGCCAACTAAATAACATAACATTTACTGACAAAAATTGTTGAGAACCTTTACTAATTTACACTCTAGTTCTGCTCTCTGATACTTTTGTTTGGATGATAACCCTTGCTTTCTCTGTCACATGTCTGGTACTCAGTTCTGATTGTCACAGCTCATCACTCTACTGTCCAAGTCAGTTCGTCAACTGCACTGTTCTACTCTTCGACGGTACGCTCTCTACTCTCTGACTGAATTCTCAAATGACTGTCCTCTACAGCTCTCGCGCTTAGTTCTTATTTTAGTCCCCATTAATGATCCCCTTTTATCGTTCTTCAAATTAGTCATCACTTCCCTCATCACTATCTTATTAATGCATCTGTGCTCAGGACATTTCCCTCTGTCACTGCATGGAAGTTTCTCATTAACTAGCTACCTTTGATTTACTGGTATAACTAGACTCACTGTCAAAGTTGTAATAGACTCATCCTGCTGCAATCTTATACACTTATGCAGGTGGTCAGTGTTTGGTTTTCGTACCTTTAGGAATTCTCCACCCACCTGCACTACCCAAGTTTCCCATAATATTATACATTTCCTCAAAATTTTACAGACTAACTTTTTTTAAAAGGACACACTTTTGAGATAAAAATTCTTGAAACTTTAAGCTTGAGCCTATTTTTTAAATTATATTCTATTTAAAGTTAAATATCATCTGATAATGATTATTTACACCAGCAAACAAGAATAAATGACAGTCTCTGAAATTTTTGTACCTGTACAATTTTTTTACTGACATACAAATTTTTTGTGGACGTTTATGGACAAGTAATTCAGTGGCAGATTTTAACAGACATGCTGGCAACCATGCCTTCTATTAATGATGTCATATTGTTTAGAAAGATTTGTACCCCTCATAACCCCCATCAAAAATTTGTACCACAACTTAGACTAACATATATGGATGAGCCCTAAGCCTATGATAATGATGTACTTGGGCTACATCATGAAAATTTCATCATGAAAATTTTTCACCAAATTCATCAGAGTAACTAGTTACACTAAGTTACAGGGAGTGGAAACTGGAATGCTATAATGAAAATGGAAAAACCTATGTGTATGAGATGAAATTAGTGAATCTCTTATACACATTATATATTTCACTTCTGGTGTGACTGTTTCTCTTTCACAACTGGCCCTTCCCTTACTCGACATATTTTACATTAATATTACTGAGTGAAAAAAAAAGTTATCAAGGACTATTTTTTAAAAACTGGCAGGTTGGGTGTAGGACTGTCGTTTAAAGGCCGGCATTTATCATATATTAAAGAAAATGAGAAGTTAACTCTTATTTTTGTAACACTTGGACCTTCCGTGTATTTTCTCAAAATGCCAGGACCCGTGTGTAAAAAAAAACTGCAACTGGTTAAGCCCTATTGTTACGGTAAAAGCTTGCCTTGTTTACATTGTGTTTACTTCATGTTTCTCGTGCATGAACTCCAAGTTTGGCGACAATGGGTATGGCCTAAATTATAAATTGTCTCCCTTGACTACATATAAACACAGCCTATGGTTGAGTTTAGTGGAACCTATGAGATGCACCTAGGTACAGATACCATGCGTAACCCCTTTCTGGAAAAGTTTCATTGAAAGACTATAAATAAGCCAATCGACAGAGAGATGGATGGAGACTACGAGACAAAGAGAGAAAAAGAGCTGAACATGATGATACGAGTCGAGCGCAAGAGTAATAGACTGCACTGATCATAGATTTGAATATTCTATTTATTATAAATGTGTGCACCTTCCAAACATTGCACCTACCGGTACCAGTTCATTGCGTTTTTTTTTGTGCTATACTGTAAGTGAATAATTTTATTCTATTTGATTTTTCATTGTAAAGTTAACTTAATAAATTATTATTTGTTATTAGCACTAGTTTGGGTATCGTTCTTTATAACTGTATTTAATTAATGGTATCGTCCTTTCTTATGTACTGTTTGCCACAAGCAATATAGTAAAATAAGAGATTAAATTCTCTACACATTATAATTATAATGGTACATAACAAACATTATATAAAATTAGAAGTTAACTCTCTTATACTTACTTGTAACCCTTGGACTTGGACCCACCGGGTATTTATTTTCTAAAAATACCTGAATCCGATTGCTGATGTAAAAAAAACTGCACCTGGATCAGCCTGGTTAAGCCCTAGTATTGAGTATAATACTATAATATTGCAATTCAATTCAAATTATAGATTTTCTTTCAAAATAAGATTTAAGAAGTCACATTGTCATATTTTTAAAATTAAAAATCCCTGGTGGCTGAAGTTAAAATTAAGTTACATTACATTATTATCATCCTTTGCTGCCACTTCATCTCACTTTCATTAATTCATTAGTCATAGATAATAATACTATACTTATTAATATTAACTATACTGTCTATACTACACTATAACCTACTTAAGTTTAAGCCTACTAGGCCTATGCCTATAGCCTATAACTTATACTTATAACTATAACAAAAAAATAAAATTTTATTGATTATAAATTATAATTTATCATTATTAATTTTTCGCCAAAGTATTTAGTTAGTTAAGTCTAAGTTAGTTAATAATAATTATTTTTACGGTAGTTAAAATTTATGTATCAACTTAATATTTAATTTAGACCTACTCAGGCCGGTCATACACTTTCACTTTCCTTGATTTTGGAGTAACTTACTAATTTAACTATAAATATAATAATTACTTATACTTATTTTTTAAAATTTACCAACCTACTCAACCGGTACCGCTTCTTAGTTACTTTAATTCATTCTAAATCTAAGAAGAATCCAATCAGTTTTTCCAATTCATATGTTATTAGCACTAGAGGTCTATCGCATTAAAAAGTTAGACTATGTTTAAAAAAAAAAAAAAGAAGGGAGAATTAGCATTTATTTCTTCAACATCTGCAAGTTAAGTCACGTATAGAGCAGAGTGAAAATCAGAATCGGGGGTAGCGACAGAATGTAAACAAGTATTCAATCGAATAGCCGTGATCCTATCTACCGAGATCATAGGTCAAACCGAGGTAAACTTGATTACATATAGTCTTTTCATATATTGAATTGTTTAAATTATTTTAGTTTTTCAATTGTGATTTGGTAAGAATAATTATATTCTGTAAATAATTTCCACTTATTTGGATCAATAAAAATAAAAAAAATAATTTCCATTTATTTGGATCAATAAAAGAATATTACCTTATCTTTAACTTATATTAATTAATAAAAGAATAACCGAAAAAGCACTACTTGGAAATATACGCAACGATAAACCATGTCTCAACCGCTGCCCTGGACGATATTCCAGACTTACCGGTCATGGAGGAGCTTGATACCCTACCCACCATAGAAGAGCTACGATTGTCTCGCCAGTGGGAAAGCTCTCAAATGTGGAAAAAGAGTACTATTATCTCCTTACTCTGTGCTGGGAACAGGGACAGCTACCACAAGAGTTGAAAGATGCAAAATCGTTACATTGTACAAAAATAAAGGAGACAAGAGTGACTGCAACAACTATCGTGGCATCTCCCTCCTCAGCATAGTTGGAAAGGCTTTCGCCCGAGTTGCATTAACACGCCTACAGACCCTAGCATCGCGTGTACTCCCAGAATCGCAATGTGGTTTTCGCGCCGGTAGGTCAACCATAGACATGATCTTCTCTCTGTGCCAGCTGCAGGAGAAGTGCAGGGAGCAACATATGCCTTTATCTGTGTAATCGGCATCCTTCCGTCTCGTGAGACGATGGTGCATCACCGTTGGGTTGGGTTGCATTTTCTCGAGTGGCTGTGCAGTCCTATCCTTGAGTGTAGAGGCCGACCGAATTTCGGCTTCGGCTTCGGTTTCGGCGCCGAAAGTGGCCATTTTGTCATTTTCGGCCAAGTTTCGGTTTCGGCCGAAACTGAAAAGTTAACTTTCGGCTTAATTTCGGTTTCGGCCGAAAGAGAAAAGTTAACTTTCGGTTTTTCTTCGGTTTCGGCCGAAATTGACTTAGACTTTCGGCCATCCGGCCGAAAGT